TCATAGATCTCGCATAAAAACAGGCTACGGTTTTTCCAGATGTATTCCGAACGATTATAGAATCGTGCAGAAGAGTTTACAAAGATGGCTTTATTTTGTAGAACAACAAATTCACCTTCATTCAACAGAACCCATGTTTTTGAACAGGAAAGYGCTTGGTTCTGTCGGCAAACCAATACCGATTGACTGGGACTAGATGCCTCACCATCAATGTAATAATCATTGGACTGTAGGACTTCGCCTGTACTTTTGATGACRACGGCTGACCCAAGCACCGTATATTCATTTCTCTTGAACACTTGAAGATTGGAGCAGCTCAGCAGTCGTTTTGCAGCCTTAATCATTGTGRCTGTACAATTTCCAAATGTTTTGTTAAAAGGAGATCTGAAATCCAGCAAATTGTGAAGAAATTTTGTTAATTTCGTTGTTACATTYAACTCAATTTTGAATCGTACMAGGAACAGCCTTCTATTCCATTTAATATTTAAATCTACAACTTTCGCAGGATATAAAGAACTTGGTATTTCCTCTTCCAAAGTCTTGAACGTACATGGTCTTCCGATAGTCTTTAACCACATTGCTATGTGRTATTGTGTAAAACCCAATGATTTTGGAAGAACGGCAAGTGTTGCTCTACAAATTTCCAAATAATTATCATAAATTTGAYCTTTTGTACACCTGACTACTGATATCGTACCCCCAACGGCACCACTGAAATCAAAAATCACYGATAATGGTTTTCGACCAGGCATAMTGCACGTTTCACATCTCCCTAAGGTCTCATRTGGACCACATTCAACTTCAGACCTCAATAGTTCATTGCATTCTGCACAAAGCACATTCTTGTAAAAGGTATTTTCATATGACACTACTCTGACTGGAGTATCAGTACACTGTCGTTGTGAGGTACTTATAAGGCAAGAGTCCTTTACCYCTAGACAATATCGTCTYGGGACTGACAAACYTCGTGGCTCCCAACTAATTTTATTGCAATAAGCAAATAGAAAATCAATTCTTTTCGAAGAACTGAAATGTGCTGGAGGGGTTNTGTGCTGTTTCCATCATTATTTGTATTGTTCTGTGCATTGTTTGTGAAGCTCCACCAGTTATCTTCACCTTTACAAAATGTACCGTAATCAGCACAACAGTCTTTGAAGAATTCGCAATCGACATCGCAGTAGCAAGCTAGCACGTCAGAGTAGATTACATTTCTTGGAAAAGTGCAGTTATTTCTACATGACAATTCATGTCTGCATTGGGAAGAAGAAGCAGATGAAGGAGCAGGTAACGATATTGGCTTCTGTATCAAGATTATTTTGGATCTTGTTATATGAGATTGATTTTTCTTGGTTTGGGTAGTGGTTTGGGTTGGTTTTGGTTTTGGTTTTGGTTTTGGTGTTGGTTTTGGTCTCTGACTTTTTTCGACTGGAGTTATGGTATAGTTCAGGCTTTTTCTCGTTCTGTGTTTCGGCAAATCTGGTTGTTTTGCAAGTAATATTGTCTTTGAAGCGCTCTGAATTATTTTCAAAGTGTCTTGTTCTGTATTAWCTTTTTCGTGATAAAAGATAAACCTCCGAAAGCTGTTGTCGGCAGCCGAATCAGCGCTGGTCACAGTATTGTAAACAAATAATATCACACAAAGGCACAGACTTGTCAGCATTTTTACCAAGAAGGCCTTTCACCAGTTATAACAACGATTCTTTACCTCATCGCTAAAGGTCTGAACAGTGCTTTTCTGATTACGTATACCTTACAGTAGAATTTGATCGAATTAGAGTTGTTACCTCTGATCCWTTGCTCTGGACGATATAAAATAAGCTCTCAGCTCGTCACCAAATGAATTTATAGCTATATTAGCCATTCCGGAGTTATGAAATGAATTGTAATTAGTGTCATATTGAGCCAATCGAAAAACTAACCATATCACTAAAAAGACTTTATCGACTTTAGTGTAGTTTCCAAGTTACAGATCATTTGGACAAGTATTCAATTAATGAGAAGCCGTGTACTCATCTYCATACAACTCAATAAAATTATCGAATGCAGTTTTATTACTGCTGTGACCATAATAGAACTTTCGACCGCAAGAGAACAAACTTTATAACAAAAAATGCAAGCAATAGTTCCTTGAAGTCTGAACGATTACGCAAAACAGTAAATATAATTTGGGGTCTTCAAAGTTTTCTCCAAATTCATCATTTTTTCGTTTATAAATGAAAGGCACCGATTTTAATATCCCGAGAAACAAAATTGATTTAAGAATCAACGAGAAAAATTGAGCCATCTGTTCACAATTTTACTCAATTGGTAGAGAATCAAAAAAAGTACTTTTTTAGCCAATACTATTTAAGTTTTCCTGTATTGGCAATAAACAATTATCAAGAAYTGTAGACAGTTAATTTTAAAATAATATAAATGCGTTATGTAATACATAGGTAGGGGTCGCCCTTCATCTAGTTTTTGAATACTATTTCTCAACATAACTTAATTATATATATTATTTTATATTATATACTCCAATAATTCTTACTCACCTACTCTTATATTTTACATATCAAAGTAGTTTTAGAAATTATGGGATTCCATTGATGACATTTTTTTACAAAGTACTCATTCTGGAAAACTCAAAATTTATATCAGTCATTATATTATAATTATAAAGGACAGTTTGATATTATGCATATTAGTGTAGGCGAATCAGAATTATTGCAAATAGTAAACAAATACCACAAGACGTTTCCTTCAAAAGGAGCAATGAATCCAATGAGTCAAGTAAAACCCAAGGCTGATGCGATGCGCACGTAAATAATACCAAACGTGTTCTTTTTTTGATCCGTAGCAGCTCCTGGTTGGGAGCTAGTGGTTTTTATCGCTCTCATTGTTAGAAAATACATGATAAAATTGGACAACAAAATTATTCCGACAGGAATTTGCAAAGAAAAACGGAACAGCCCACTACGGATTGGACATCCAGCATGCCTTGAAAATTGCAATTATTTGTGAACAGTAGAATGTATTTATTTGTTAAAGTTTTAGAACGTTGTAAGCAAATAAAGAAATTTCTTGAGTTTTTCGGTGTACCTAGACATCAATA